CAAGTAACATTATTCTTTATCTATAGATAATTGAAAGAATCAAAAGTAGAATCTGAAAAGCTACGGGTTTGTAGTTCCTTAAAATCCGCTGTTAAATGGTATAGATTTTCCTATAAGCCATTTTTAAAAATTCAGCAAATACCTAAAATAACTTGATTGTTAGGAAAAAAGGTTGGTTGGCTCTAAAACCAATCCTAAATGAAGTCTTACTTTAAGATGGAAACTAAAAATATTTTAAAATTGGTATTAAAAGAAAAGGCAAGGAAAACAAAGAGTAGCATACACTTGAGAGTGTAGAAATACACGACAAATTGCAGAGAATTTTTCAGAAAGTGACATGTCCAAACCCTAGCTCAAAATTATTCTGGCTTTTCTTTTGAAATTAATCAGTTTTCAATGGGAATAGTGAAATTATGATTTTATTTCAATGCAGATGTTATGGGCTGAACCGTATAGAATAATGTCTAACTTAAATATCAGAATGTGCTGATGGATTTGAGAGTGTAAACAAGCATATAGCATAAAACTGATAGTATGCTATTTGAGATATTATGATTTTCTTCATATGTTGAAGAATAATAGTAAAACACTTGTGAAATTATATTTTTTCTCTTGACCCTGAACATGTTTGGTTAAGGTAAAAAAGAAGCAAAGTTGCTTTTAAGTCACTTCATGTCTCCATACAAGAGCTTGGATACCTTACTTTTAAGAAGAAAAAAAAAGTTACTATTTTCTAAAGTAACTCTTTCCTTGCTTATTTTTAACACTTGCCAATAATATATATATGTATATGTGTGTGTGTGTGTGCGCGCGCGCGCTCGCGCGTGTGACTAATTGAAAATGTGACTAATTAATTAGAAAAAATTTCGGAACGGATAATCAAACCAATTTAAACAAATACAAATTGAAATGATATTATATGATGTATAGCCAATATAGTACATTGGATTAAGGTTTACAACAAAAATTAAATTGGTTTATACATTCATGTTGTTAAATGTCAGGTCCCCAAATCGAGGAATCGTGACACTGTTTGAGAATCTAGAATTTCAATGGTGCCAATGTTGAAATTGAGCTGATAAGTCATGATTGCATACTCTAGTTTATCATCAAATTCATTGCCATTACTATGAAGAATATCAAGATAACCAAATTGATTAAAATACTTCTTGACTTAATCCCTGTTTGGTGCCAAGTATAATTTAGATTTTAATCTAAATCAAAGTTAACAATTAATTACTCTTCAATTACACATTTCATCAATCTCTATCAAAATTTACTAAAAATTTGATTTCAATTCCCATCAAATGGGCTTTTAATATAGTCCTTCCACATTGTCGCCCTTACAGTAGCTTTGCAGGTTTTTGAGATACTGGAATCCTGATATTTGAATGATGTTGTTTGCCTGGCCCTTCTGCTTGAGAGTGCCGCACAAAGTATGAGGGACTAGGAAGATGAAAGGCTTGACTAACAAATAACAATGACTGCCATGACAATATTGCGTATGAAAGAATTAACCTGATGAGATTTCATTCTTGACGTTAGATCTTAATTTTGCAATTTGTGATGCCTTGACCAAGTTGACGGTGTAAATGACTGATTTTGCATTTTCATGAAACCAAACACAATGTGTTTTACTTTTTGCCAAAACAAGACAAAATAAAAGATCCCATCGATTCTCTCATAATTCCTACAAATCTTTTTTTTTCTTTTTTCAATCTAAAAGTCATATTTTTGAATCAAATGCGTGACATAGTTCACCATTAATTGTGCCGTTGTTCCCGTTATTAAATCCAATAAAGCCCAGTTTTCTATCCAGGCTTACGTATATTGATTCCTTTAGAATTTTTAATTTTTAAAATTTTATTTTTAATGTATTTATTCTTCTTAAAAAACCCTTTTACATAAACATGATTAACTGCATAATACAGCTTTAGCTAACATCAATACGCAAGATTTACAGTTAATCAATCGACAAATGACACATAATCACAACATTTTTTATCCCACCAGTTTTTGCCTCCTAAGCTAACATTAAAATATGAGAAATCACTTCAATTATGCAAATATTTTCAAATCAAATAGGAAACCCAAGAATTGATACTTCACTGAAAACAAAATTGAATTCATTGTTCATTGTGTTCATGTAAACTTTAATGTCGTTTAAATATAAAAATAGTAATTTCGTAAAGTTACTCTTTAAAATGAAACTATGAGACTTGATATAGTATCAAAGTTTAAATAAGTTCAGAAAAGTTACTCAATAAGTGCAAAGTTCAAAAATTCGTAATTCGATGTGTGGAAAGCTCAAACGAGAAATCGAGTTTTACGATTGAACCATTACGAAGGGCATAAAGGGTGAAATCTCATTTTACTTAAATAAGAAAATAATAATCAAAATATTAAAGTTCGTTGACAAAGTTGAACGTTTAATATAAAGTTCAAAACTACAATCATATCATATATACGACGAAATAGAATGAATTGAATCACTATTTTGTGATAGGCAATTATCTAGAGCATACAAATTATTTCTTTTCTTATTTTTCAATCCCGTGAGTTTTTCGTGGCCTAACCTAACATTAAAATATGAGAAACCCATTCAACTATGCAAATATTCTCAAATCAAATAGGAGAGCAAGAAATTTTGTATTCCACTAGAAACAAAATTTGGAATGAATATCCCTTCATATACGCTAATAATTAATATTAAAATTAGCAATTTATCATTACTTTAATGCCAAGACGATAACGGTGATTAAAATGCAAAGTTTTTATGTCATATATGCACACGAGGCACGAATCCAACGGCTGACAAAGTATTATTTGGCAGACACGTAGCCAAGAAAATCAAGATTGATGGGCCGCAATTAATAAATTTTATGGATACACTTGTAAGACAAGAAATTAACAAAATTAAAGGAGCTATATTTAGTGGGTCCCACATCCCCAATTATTTGCATAAGATCAGGATGGACTTCTGGCAAATCATTTTTGGCCTCAATTCTGGAGTTTTGTATCAAACGTGAAAATAACATATGAAAAAGAAAAGATACAGCTAGAACATTTGCAATGATTACTTAATCATGCAAAACTTAATCTTAATTAAACAATACATAAGCAAGAAATATTGTCTTAAATTAGATATCTTATCGACAATAATACTATTATAATTAATATATAAAGGTATGTTGAAACGATACTAAAATTTAGATTTATTTTTTTTTTTCAATTTGATATCTTATCTACAATAATACTATTATAATATATAGAGGTATGTCGAAACGATACTAAAATTTTGAATTTTTTTTTTTCATTGGCATAGATATTGCAGAATTTGTGTGATATATTAAGCTATCAAGACAAAAGTTACTCCGCTGGTAAGACGCTAAGGCCATGGTTGGTTTGCCGTTTTTGGCCCATTTTTCGTTTTCCGTTTTCGAAAATGCGGAAAACACGTTTGGTTCGTCGTTTTCGAAGACGCATTTTCAAAAATGAGTTAAAATTTATAACTGAAAATGGAAAACGACTTTTTATCGTTTTCAGTTATAAATGTCGAAAACGCTCAAAACGCAGAAAACGAGCCGTTTTCCCAGAAAATTAAAAATCGTTTGAAAATGAAAACACAAACCAACCACTATCTAATCTTTTCCGAGGGCTTGCATCAAAGATAAGAGTTGGCACTTTGATGTTCACTCTTCATTATCTCGAATTGAAGTTCTTTTTTACGCATGTTACTTTTGGAGTAAATTCATTAAGCACATGTTTGGCTTAGATTAAAATTAAAATTTTAATAGATTTAGATACAAATTGATCAAATATATGACCAAAAATTTGATAAAAATTGTGAGTCACACAAAATTTTAATTGAAAATGAATTTGAGAAAAAAATTTAATAGCGTCAAGCTTTTATGTTGAACAGCTTGATAGAATATTGATTCATATGAAATCAAGCTTTTATGCTGTACAGCCTGATAGTATATTGATTTATATGAAATCAATCATGCATATTTTCCAAGCTATGTGCAACTCAGCAAATTCAGGAGTAGACCAGAAATCTTTCTTCAACATTAATCATACTTAATACGGTACACTGATTAAATTGAAAAGGATAGACTGCCAAAATTTTTGTCAATTTATGCACTGAATTTAAATAACTAACACATGCAGGTAATGTAAATTAGATAGTATTTATAATATTTGCTATATCTATGAATTATATGACATGTACGTGATGGAGGTCTCACATTAGTTGATTGGACATCGATAATGCCTATTAGATTGAGCCGGATCAAATTAAACGATTCGTTCTTGTAATTTGACTTGGTTCAATGGCTTATCTTGGCTCGCTCCCACTAGATATAAGTAAGTCCATTTATACTCATTTAAAGTGTGTTCATCAAAACTCTAGCCAAATTACCACTCACCCATTTCTTCTAAACTCATTCTTCTTGTTCGGATACTTGACTTGACAATCAAAGTGGAACAATTGTCTGACTTTATCTTGGAAAAACGTCCTTTATATTATAATGATAGAGTAATGTTATTTAGTCTCACTGAAGTTACAACCTCAGTTTAGGTGATGTTAATGTGGCATTAAATGATATGTGAAATATTTAATTTCGCATTCCATTCAACTTATCATTTAGAGCCACATAAATTGAGCTTGTAACCGTATTGAGATTGCATAGCATTATTCATAAATCATAATGATATGTTCTAGTCTGCTTGTGATGCATGGAGGTGGCTGATTCTACTGGCCACATAATCGTACAAATTCTAAGTCAACAATATTTTTGTTGAAATTATATAAAATTTAATTTATTCTATAGTACTCTTCAACTATACATATTTATCAGTTCTCAATTATTAGCCACGCTTGATTGCGGTTCGGACCTGTCTTTTTCTCTTAGAATCCCTCCTATAAATTCGCTCACTCAACAACTTCATTAAATGAAATCCAACGCCCCTTCAAAAACCCAAAATCTCTCTCTCTATCTCTCTGTGCCACCCCAACCCCCCCCCCCCCCCTCCACGGAACATCTCAACTCTCCAGAAATGGCAGTGCAATATCTTGATTTCCCAGAAAATTCATTGAATTTGCATAAATTTAAAAAGCAACCCCAAAAAATTACAAATTTAAAATCCTTTTGGGCCTTCCTATTATCTATTTTCATCTACATTTCAATATTTTATATTTTTAACCTCTCCCCTTCCACTGTTTTAAGTACCACCAAATTCTGGTTTTTTATATCAAACACCATTATTCTCATCATTGCAGCTGATTTTGGCTCTTTCTCTGCATCAAAAGAGAATGATTTTTTCGAAGACTACTTTAAAAATGCTAGAACAAGAAATATTTCATCTGTCAGAACTCAAAAAATCCCATATGATCAAAAGGAGGATATAACTGATCCGAAATTACCCGAAGAAAAGATTATAGAAATGGCAGTGCATGTACCTGTGCCGCTGCCAGTGGCTCATAAGACTACTGAAACTAAGGAAGAAGATAAACAGATAATTATAGCCAACGAGAACGTCGAGAACTTGAATGAAAAAAGGCAAGAAATTGATCAGAAAAATGGAGCTGGCCAAGAGAAGGAGAAGAAGAAGAAAGCAAAATGCGTTCGCTTTAATTCTGAGAAAATATTGATCGCTGCAGAGGAAGAAGAAAAATTTGTCTTGCAGAGGTCACTGTCTGATATGGATGAAGGGAGGGTCGAAGAAAATGAGTTTTCAGCCATGTCGGACGAGGAACTGAATAGAAGAGTTGAGGAGTTTATTCGAAGGTTTAACAGACAGATTAGGGATCAGGCAGTCAAAAATAAGCATTGATAGTTTTAGGAAAATGATATTTCCAGAATCTGAATGTATTTTGCTGTCCCTGTTTTTCATTTTGTTTATCTTGTCTTTGTTATTTTCAGTGGCGGGCTGTAAATTGAAGGTTGGTTTTATGTCGAGAAATTAATAATCATGAGGAGTTCGAACTACTATTACCCATTCGTTATTGGAAAATGACAAATCTGTCAAAAATACCTCACAATGGTCAAAGTAGAATATGTTAACATCATAATACTTGTTAAGATTTGAAGTTTCATCTAAAATCCCCTCATAAACTTATAATTCACTCTATATTTAGTCGATGTAGAACTTTGCTCCGTTGAACTAAGTGTCTCATAATCTATTAGCCTTTTTCCTTAAATCAAGAAAGATCATATGCATCATCAAGGCCCAACTCTTCAACCGCGTCACGGAATACCACCTTACATGGACACACAGTTGCCTTCAAAGTTAACTACAACTTTTTCGGCTTTTATGATTCAATATGGGACTCGCCCGTTGCATTTGTTCATCTTGAAGCATCCACAAGGTTAAGTGTCCTTAAAAAACTATTATTTGCTCATGTTTAGCTTATGTCGGGCTTCATTTGCCTTTCCGTGACAATTTTTCCTTTAAAATGTCAATTTTATCCAAATTAATTTAGAACGGAGGATTCTTGTTTCAAATGCCACCTTCTTTCACTGGTCATATTGCTTGCCCTATTCCAAGCTACTCCCATTCCGTCTCCCCCAACTGCCATTAACATCCCTCCCCGTCATACAAAATTATTGTCCTTTATTTTGTCAATTTAAAATATCAAAACGTATCTTACTAATTCTACAACAAGTCAAGAGATCGAGGTATGCATCAGATACATGAATGGACACTTGCATGATTGCGGTTGGGATGGATGCACATGAAATAATATATAGATAAATTAAGAATTCAACAGTGGAGCAAATTTCTTGTTGAAATGACAATAATTACTAGGGCCTTGTAATTACTTGTTTGACTCTTCTATCAATCGTGGAGCTGTGCTTGACGTCCAGGTCACAGGCTCCCCACCAATAGGGGGGCGCCAAATGGCGCCTTGAACGTGTATCTTTTTCCGTCAGTCATGTTCCTCAATTGTGGGATTTCTTGGAAGTCATTGTCAGACTAATTGATCATGCTGGTACATTTAGAGCTTGTTTGAACCACATTATTTCAAAAAAAATATTCTTAAATAGTGATTTGACATCATTTCAATCACATATTTTTCAATAAAATAAAATTATACGCAAATCAAAAAAAATTTCTTATCTTTTAACCACACATTTTCCATCAATACACTATTCAAGAATGTATTATTACTAAAATAATGTGGCTCAAACACCCCCTTAATAACTACTATTAAACAATTATTGATTCATACAAAATCATGGAGTACTCTTGAGATTTCACGTGGAGGAGAATAAAAATAAATAAATGTCTTTTTTAAACATTTAATTCATATTTTGTAGAAAACAAAATTCATATGTTAATTTAAATTTAAGTCAACAATCAATTTTAAGCACGTGGTTCATAGAATTCGCAACTTTTCAATAATATATTTTATCAAATTTTATCAAAATTTACTAAAAATTTGATTTTAATTCCTATCAAGCAGGGGCTTATGCTTGTATGCGAGATGATTCATGTCCTGTTTGAATTGTATTTTTTTTAAAAATACATTCTTAAATAGCAATTTGACATTATTTTAATCAAATATTTTTCAATAAAATATTATTACACGTAAATTCAAAAAAAAATTATTTTTAACTACATATTCTCCATTAATTTATTATTCGAAAATACTTTTTTTTTTAAACAACGTGACTCAGACACACACACGCACACAATTTTGAGACAATCAATTATCAATCATTAACATGCAATTTGGCATATACGGATTCCAAAGAGTAGACCAGAGACAAGAAATAGTGATCAGCATTAAACCCTTGTGGCTACGTGTGCTTCTCTCTTGTCATTTTCGTTTGGGGTAGTGGGGATGTAGTGAGCTGGGGGTTGAGGACATGTAGTTGTCCTAATCAAATGGGGGACCACACCTACAAAATCAGTACTTGTGAATACTATTCCAAAGTTCAATGTAACTGTTCTTCTTTTAATTAGGGCATCTCCAACCCAGCACCAAATTTTGCACCATTTTGCACTAAATTTTGCACCAAACTAAAATTCATCTCCAACCATTACACCAAAAATTACACCAAATGAACAATATTTAACCATTTTCTTCCATTTT